TACAAGCCTTCCGCATCTTTCAAGAAATTAATTTTCTTCTCTTTTAAATTCTTTTTTTTGTCCTAGATTTGTTTCCTCTGGAGTCTCCAAGTCAAGTCATTCTGATTTCTTTCTAGTGTACTGCTCCTTTTACCCGATGGATGCCATCAACACAAATACAAACTGAGGCAGGATTTCCTAGGTGCAGGAAGACTTAGAGCATCTCACAACTGATTCACTACAGGATACGGGGTAAGTCACAGACATCAATAGCTGCACTGCAGGTAGGTAACAGAATGGCAAAAACAAGCAGATGTACCTTAGAGCCAAGCAAATGGCTCAAAGGGGCATCCACAACCTCAGACTTCCAATCAGAAAGTAAATTTGGAATGGGCCTTTGATAGGGATTGGACTGGAAGTCCACCTGCAGGAAGGTGACGCCCTACAGAGCTCAGGCGAAGGATTTCTTCAAGACTTCAAGAAACGTTTTAGGGAGAAGGGAAAAAGTCAGAAAGAACACGACGTTAAGAAGAAACACCATGAAGTTACCTTTAAGTCAGCAGCTGTAGGAATCTTTTCTTCCAAGAACAGCTCTCCAAGTTGATCATCCGAATTAGCAACACACTCGATCAACTCCCCACGCCGATCTGCAGCCTCTGCTCTAAACTCCGCTGGAATTTCATCGTACCGAACAGTCTGGCTAAAAACACACAAATAATACAGCCCCTCTGAGGGATACCACACGAAGCAGCTTTTCCATCACTAGTCATTGTGACGACCAGCCTGACCAAGAAAAATTTACTGTTGGCATGGATATTAAAAAATAAATAAATAAATGTTTGGGTTATTAACTTGCTATCTTTGATGCTTTGATGCTTTAGCAGGAAAGCGTTCTTCCCACTCACGGTAGGAGTTTGCAGGGATGCAGGACAACCTGATCAACAAGCTCACCCACATCTTATCTTCATCCCAGTCAGCTCCTGCCAAATCTCCACTATCTGCTCCGTTATGAAGCAAGTCTCCTATCTCTCTGGGTGGCAAGCACTGCTACCACCCCTGAACACTGTTGCCGTTCGCCAGAGATTCATGCTGAAGCTACCAGTCATTAAATCTGGCTCTGCAGAATCGTTTTGCTGTAATCTGGTGGGCTGAAAGATACCTCAGCCCTAGCACAAGCTGCATCCCTAACTCTCCAAACAGCAGGCTTCATATCTGAAGAAAAACTATAGTTATTACACATCTGAAGAGTCACTTCATTAACAAGAAATATGCAAGTTTCAAACCTTACCCAAATGCACCATCGAAATATATAGCTCTTTCTTCAATTAGATCTATAACTCCTTTAAAGTTTCCCTCCAGACCGATTGGAATCTGAACAAAAGCTGCATTGTGTTTTAACTTGGATCTGAAAAAGTGAGGAAACATCGATTAGCTGAAGAAAAAAGTCACTTCCATTCATGCGCTCCAGATGGTCTTTAAACAACATCCCATTCCTACACTGTATCACCATATTCTGTTCTTTTAACAGTGCCAAAATCTACCAATACTGATGAAAAATGCCTATTTGCATTTTACCATGAATAACTGCCTGACTTCTATATCCCAACAGATCCAGTGAGCAACTTCCATGGGAAAAAAGGCAGCACAAAAGACAGCTTTCAGATTGATTACTTGATTATGGGAGCTCCTTCTCCCTTGCTGCACATTAACATGTGTATCTCACAGATAAAAGTTTGGCACAGAAAGGTGGCAGGTAAGAGGCACGCGGAACTTCTGGTATTTGAAGCAGAAACTGCCCAACCTTGTGTCATTGCCCTGCTGCGAGCTACACGACATTTCCCACCAGCATCTAAGAAAAATTAAAATGCTGTTTTTAAAGTGGCTCTGCATCTAGTTCCCCATTTAACCTCAAGCCATGCATTATCTCCCAAAATGCGGATTACAGACTCCACAAGAGAATGTTTTTCAATATTCTTAGTATCAATCTGCTCCGTGAATAGCTCAGAATTATTTCACAGGTAAGTTAAAGCGATAGATACCTCAACTGCTGGACTGCTCTGGCTGGACTAGAGCCCTGTCTGTCCAGCTTATTGATGAATGTTACAAACGGCACGCCGTAACGTTTCATTTGCCTGTTCACGGTTATTGTCTGGCACTGAACTCCTCCAACAGCACAGAGAACCAGAATAGCTCCATCAAGAACTCTCAAAGACCTCTCTACTTCAATTGTGAAGTCTACGTGTCCTAAATAACAATAAAAAAAAGCCAACAAAAAGTTAGTCATAGATGATAAAAAATAGTAATGGTTGTCTCACAGCTGCAGAAGACAGCAACATCCAATGAAATCAGTCTCCAGACATAAGGAATCTCAAGGTCAATCACTAAATGAGCACAAATTCAGCACCGCTTTTTTTATATACAAAGGAAGAGCAACCTTACAGTGTTCAGAACTGCCATTACCTGGCGTGTCTATGATGTTGATGTTGGTGTCCTTCCACATGGTGTACGTTGCTGCAGACTGAATCGTGATCCCACGTTGTCGCTCTAGCTCCATTGAATCCATGACAGCTCCAACTCCATCCTTACCTTTCACCTTAGTAATAAATAAATTAAAAAAATTAGTCCAAGAGAGTTTACTGGGAGTTCTACAGGAACAGGAGCAATCTTTCACACAGTGAGCATCATCCTTCACACAGCAATGAAAAGGAGACATGAGAGAACCATTTATAATTCCTGAAGTGCAAAGAAGCTTGATTTTTTGCAGCTTCATCTACTAAGCTAATGTGTTTTACTCTCCTGATCATCACCCTGAAAGAGGTTATCAAAAATCTGCCACAAATTAGGCTTCACTGTTAATTTAATAAGCTAATATATCTGAATCTAAAAACTATATCCTTATGTTCTCTCAGTTTCTCACAGCCATCTCTGATGGTATTAAAAGAAACGTGCATCTCCCATGGTGCATTTACCAGAAATAGGAAGAAATAAGTTTCAAAATATGATTTGAAGTGTTGTGAAAGAGAGAGAACACTGCAGCAAATGAGGGATAATTCAATCCTCTTCTTCTCCATTTATTCTTAAATTTAAATTTAGGACTCCTCTCCTAGCTCGGCCTGCCACCGGGTGCATCAGGCACAGCTCCCTGACCCCACGCTGTAGGTTGCAGATGAACGAGCCCCAGCAGCGCTGCGCTGGCACCCAACACACAGCCCACAGAGCACCACTCTGCCCTGGCATCCCCCAAAAACCGACCTCGTGCATTTGTGCTATCCTGCCAGTGTAGAAGAGGACTCGCTCCGTCAAGGTGGTCTTCCCGGAGTCGATGTGGGCCGAGATGCCGATGTTGCGGATCCGCTCATTGGGAAGGATGCCTGAGGAGCAGTGCCTGCAGGCGTTCAGGAGAAGCTGGAAAAGGGGATTGCTGCTGGTTTAGGGAAGCACAGATGAAATGCAGACCAAATGGTCACCCTGCTGCTCTCAGTTGCCCCCAGGGGCCTTTCTGAGCACCCCGAAGCCCTGCAGAGCCCTCAGGCAGCCCCCAGGCCAGGGCCGCTGCCTTGTCCCTTTATCCCTGTCCCCTTGCCGGACTCCAGCCTCCCTCCCACTGACGGGCGCCCTCAGCCTAACGAGGGACTTCTCCAGGTCGAGCACAGCCCCGGCCAGATACCCTTTTTTCTTTTTTTTTCCAGAATTGCCACTTTTTGCCTCTTTTCCCCAATGCCCCTCCTACCCCGTCACGGCGCGGCGCAGGGCCCCGCTCCCCTCAGCCGGGCCCTGTCAGGGCTGTCCCCGGTCCCCGCCGCGATGGCGGCCGCCCCCCGCCCCCCTGCCCGCCCCCCGCTACCTGCGGCTGCCGCCGGCCCCGCGCCGCCCCGGCCCGCAGCGCCCGCAGCATGGCTGCCGCCCGCCGCCTCAGCGCCTCAGCGCGGCGCTTCCGGAGCGCGGCGCATGCGGGGTCGGGCGCCGCCGGGCTTTGAGATGTAAAGGCAAAATCCTCAAAAAATAAATAAATCTAACTCATCTCGCCCTCAAAACACGATATTGGCTCCTATTAGATGAAAATAAGGGCTGCTGATAGGAAACATGCCCGGGGTCATGTCATGTGTGCACATAGGGGACTGTGACAAGCAGCGCCTCTCCTCACGGCCGCTGAGGGACAGCGGACATGGCCTGCTGGGCTGGACTTTAAGGGCTTCTTGATCTTATTTAGTATTTTAATTAGTGACCTTTATGGTAAGGATTATGCTACTGAAGTTTACTAATGACACTGTCTGAACATGTATCAGCAATAGTGTAAGTGTAGTGGAGGATTAGCAGATTTTACAAAAACAATGCAACAGGTTGAAGTATCAAATGCAGCATTACTATTAACAGGTATATTCACTAATAGCGTTTACTAATTAGAAAGTAAAGACCTGGGCTCAGTGGCAGAAGAACAACAATACAAGTTTATAACACACAAGGAAGATGCTTGGAGCACAAGTGCCCATTCACTGCTCTTTAATGCTTTATTAAACAGCAAGCTCCAATGAAGTCTCCAATTAAGTCAGCATTATAGGTACAAACAAAACATCCCTGCTTAAGGCAGCATGTGAAGCTGATGCAGTTACCCTGCATGGCTGCCCTCTGCTAAGCCCCACCCTGAAAGAGAAGCAATTACTCTGCATTGAGCATGTGGTAAGAGCACTGCATATGCTAGCAGTTAGAAGTGATGACATACTAATACTCAAGTCATAGCTCAAAGTAATATATATAACAAATTTATTTAAATATTTGAGAATAGAGATACTATGATTATATGAGGGAAACTTAGTCTTTCGTACAAGAAACACTTGGCCCAACACCAGGTGTTTCCTTGCTGTAAAGCTGTTTTTTTGTTGTTTGTGGTAAATGCATGTTTTTCTGGAAACAGACCCATTCCCCTTGCTGTGTTGCCACTGATGTCATATGGAAGAATATTTTAAAGCAGCCCAAACTGATGCACAAATCAATGTGGTGTAAAGTAAGCCACACAATAAGCATAAGTAATAAATAACTCTTTATTAAAGAACTATAGTTTCAGATGTTCCTATGTAGAACAACTTCTCTTGCATAACATTAACATTGTTTTGCATAACAAAGTAGTCTATGACAACTATTAGCCCCTTTCTACCAAGATTTTTTTCTAACCCACGATGTTCTCATTTTCTCAATTGCATACGTTCATCCATCCCAGCAAAGCACAGGCAAAAATATAAGCAGTCAGATGAATCGTCTTCTGTTAAACAGCAACATCTCTCAAAATTCAGTTGTTTTCTCTTGAAGTTGTGTTTAATGCTGTTTATCACTAGGAAATTTAAGTGACACACCTGAAAAATGCCTCTATGGCCTGATATTCTCAATTACATTAATTGCAAAATTGATGTTGTCTTCAGTGAATGAAGGATCAGGCCCTAAGCTGTACTCTTACATTCTGAAGAGAATAAAAGCGTCCTTAGATTAGGGGTTCTGGCAGACATCCTCCTCAGGTATTATTACTGTGATATTACACATGGCTTTCTGCCCATTTCCCTGTCAGAGGTTTCTGCTCCCACAGCATTGGCAGCAGAAGGGATGTGCGCATGTCTGAGCTACAACACACGCTGCCTACTGTAGTAAATCATCTTACCTTGACTGCTGGTGGAACACTGCAACAGCAAAAAATTATTGCTACTAGTATTTGCTCTAATAATAGAAAGAAGGCCACTGTTAAACAAGCAGAGAAACTATTGTCTTTGTCAGTTCAATAAAAGTACTTTTCTTTTTTACACAACATTAAATAATCTGAGGAATCTGCAGAAAGATACAACCTAGACCATTTCTTTTAGTCATATGAATATTAAACAATTTTTACACTGACTTTTTTTGAAGGCTACACTATGCTTTAGCCTTGAAATATATGCTTTAGTGCCAATGCTAGAATGTTGTACCTACAGAAATTTACTCTACAACATGAGATCAATTCAGAGTAACAAGACAGCACACAAACTTAACATTTCTAATACAGAGACACTTCCTGTTCTCAGTCAGTTTGCTTTCCTATAGAACCAGACCCTTTCACCAAATGATGATGAAAAAAGTGTCAAGGGAGATCAAGTGTTAGATACAGGATCCTTTTACATCCATTCAATCAGTGCATGAAGTAAGATCTCATCTCAGCTGGGGGGGGAAATGGTTTCCTGCATGTAGGGATAGTTTTTTAGGACAAGAAATGATAATGAATGGTTGCACATTACTGAATCATTTCTCCTGTGTTTTTCCAAATTAAGAGTTGATAGTTACATCTGAGCTTCTTAGGACACAGTGATATTATTCTAGAGTACTGAAAAACTTCTATGGAGAACCTTCAAGACTGAAGAATAATGGGCTACCTCCAAAGAAAACATACAAAGGATCAGGAAATATGAGATTAACAGGCTAGGGATGGAGATGAGAGATGTAAGTGCAGCTTATGAACAAAAGAATGCTGATAAACCTGATAAACACAATTTCCTATTTTAGTACTCCTCTCACTTTTCTTCATTTAAAAAAAAGATAAATCTGGGGATTCTATACCAATTTAAAGTATGAATTTAAAGCTACATATACAGTGGCTACAGTGTACTGAAATGGCTGTTGATTGCTGTGTCACCAGAACAAGTTATTTTGGCCACACAAAGTAAGAATGGAATTTACCTTCTGTGCAAGTTGCACTATATGGGACAAAATTATCAGGCTTAATAAGAAGTTTGAGACTGGTGCAGTTGTAAGTGGAGAAGACTCTGCTAACCAAAGCATTCATTTTTAAACAGAATTACTGATAAACTATTAAAGTGCTTTTAAGTAGAAAGGTTTGTTTTGTGTCTTTTTCATATTTACTGACACTAGATGACAACCTAGGATCTGAAGTTTTAAACGACATTCAAAAGTCAATAGAGTACAGTAGCAAGACACACTAAAACAGAAGACAGATTGGTCATACATGTGTATACTTATATGAACATAAGCAGTGCAGCACCATTATCTTCTTTGAAGAATCTCCATCTAAATGGACAATGGAAACATTTTATTTTTTGCTGCTTTTGATGGGGACATGTGTTCCTTTCACACTGAGGTTCTCCATAGAAACTCTGGGTCCCCTGGAACCCACAGATGCAAGTGGTTTCTCCCTGAAACAGAGAAGCACAACAGAAATCACAACCACCATACAATACAGGGGTGGGGAAATACATTTTTTTCATTACTGATGTAAAGGTGTAGTTATTGTTTGTAGAACAGATTCCCTCCAAACCTGTGCTGTTACTACCACAGGGTTGAACTGCTTCTTCCTCCCGCACACTTGATGTGAAGAATGAAACAGCTTTGTTTGAAAAATGAAGGTAAAGTAGCCCTTATAGTAAGCTTCTAGGACTAAAGAGGTACCAGAAGTACTGTGTAGCTTACAGAACAGGAATTCCCGTTCTGCAGCCTTCTTCTCTACCAAACATGAAACTGATAAAGGCATTACACCTTCCACTGAAACTACATCAGTAGGAGAAAAACTGAAGCTTGGTGGATAGCAGGAGAGGTTCCTGGGTTTACAGATGAAGCACTCATCCCTACACAAACTTCTTCATTTTAGGATTGTAAGAGGTCTCATTTGAAATCTAACCCAGAAGAGAGGAGTTTCTCTCTCTTCAACTGTAGGGAAGGTGTCTTTCCTTTTACCCAGGAGAACAGATTAACCTAGTCCTCAGTGAGGATTTTATCTTAATGCAACTAGCCCAGTTTAACGACTGGGGGAGGGGATGTTAACACCTATATATAGTTAGGCTAAGAGCGCTGGCATACAGCTCTAGAAAAAAAATGCTGTAACATTTTAGCCTGTTAAAGCAATTTGCACAGTCAAAATACTAACTTCAAGATTTACTTATAAAACTACTGCCTTGTATTAATTGCAACATCATCAGAAAAGCTGGAGCAAAAAAAGCGCTCTCAGATTGCCAGTGAAGATTGTTTGTTCATAAACAGATTACTTCAGAGTTGAATTTTCACTTTTGCTGATACTTCCTTTATCTAGTAACTATTTTTACCTTTTTAATCCATCTTCCTTAGGTATGTGCTGAATACTCCTGTATTTTGGAGCTTCTAAATTGTATCTGGTTCTAGTTGGCTTGAACTTGGTTATCTCTTTCTGCCACTCCTCATCAAAAGTCTGGGCCTCAGCTGAAAAACAGTTAAAGTTTAATATTATCTTTAAATCAACGCAAGCAAGATAGGAAAAACATTTAATCACAAGCAGGTTTTTGAACAGCATTGTTCATGATTTTGTACACAACCTGCAAACTTTTTCAAGGCTATCTGTTCGAGACAACTAAAATCATTATTGGGCTTAAGTTTCAAAGATAAAAGAAAAGTCAGTGTTGTAAAAAGTATCTGCACACTTTAATCACACATCTCTGAAATATATCTTTTCTATTACCAACATGAGCAGTATAGCCATTTAAACTAATGCACAGCAGATAGTAATATTCCGTTAAAAATGTGTTTGAAGTACCTTCAAATACAAACAGCTATTATAATTGGCACTATTTGCTTGTATATAGTAACAGAATGCTTAACTGGTTACCTTAGCCTCAAAAGTTTGAGTTTTTATTGAGTATAAGAACTTATTTGCAGACTTAACACTTTCTGCAAGACTGCCCCTTTTGCAACGTCAGGAACTAGAACTAGTACTCCAAAATTGGTATCAGTGTAAAACAATAGAAAACTGCATAAAAAGGACATACTTTCATCCAAGTTGATGAATTCTTGGTTTATTTCTTCATCACCAGTCTTCCTGTTCTTTGATTTTTTTATGACATGGGCACGATCATGAATGTGATGACCAATAGCCATTTTTTCCAGTCCACTTTCGGAATCCTTAAGTGCTTTTCTCGTCTCCTTAACCTGTACAAAAAAAGGGAAGTAAGTGTCCTTCCAATAACAAGAAGATTAAAAACAAATCTATCAATTTTCTTCCTCTTTTTTTTTTTTTTAAAATATCTGACTTTTTCAAAAGTTAGGTTTTACATGCTTTTCCAGCTGCCTTACTTCTTGTGTTGGCAGGAAATATACCACAACACAGATCAAGTCTATTTTCCTTCTGCCAACAGACAGAAAGATTAAACAAGAACTTCTAAAGCTCCATAACTAACACACATGCTGGATATTAATTGTTGGGAAAAAAGCCTAGTCTAAATATACTACATGCAGACAAGTCTTCAACATTCTCCGTGACAACAGAATGAGTAATAGCTGATGCCAATATTCTCAGCATGAAGGGACAACTAATTACTAGGTTGTCATGTTGACTGGCTTGAAACCCAGGCAACCACTTATCACTGTGTTCATAAGTATATTATTAGAACCTTTTTGATAACTGAGTGTCTGCTTGAGCTTGAACATATCCCACAGCCAATCATGCTGAACGGCCTTTACTGCTCACATATAGTCTTTCATGAACCTTGCTTCAGGGTTCAAATTCAAATTCAAATTTCTTAGCAGAATTAGATGCAACAGCTGCGACGAAGTCAATGAAAGGGCATCTTCATATGAAGCCTTACATAAGCATTTAAAAGTAGTCAAGTAAAGAGAATGATGTTTTGCATAAGTAGACTGCCTTTTGCTATCTTCTCCTGTACACAGTTTTAGTTTTAAATGCACAGGAAGTGAATTATAGCAAAGAGCAAGACACCTGAAGACCTCCTTGAGAAATTAGCTGTTCTGGCACTCAACTTTTCCAGTCTTTGACAGGTATAAAATTTAGATATATACTTAAAAATACACAAATAACAAGGAAGAAAACATCACATTAGTGTAAGTATTCTTTATTAAAGACTATATTTACACAGACATTTTTCTAAATTATAAGAGTAACTGTCTCCAGCAGACAGAACTGGAAGAAAACTGGGGTTTGGTATGGATGAACTTGGTAATTACACACCACACTTTTGCTCAGGACTACTTACACCTCCTGGAGCTGTGCGCGTCTGAGCTGAGGCTTGGAAAATTTTTGGTGGTTCATCCCCTATTTTGGAATACGTCATCACAGAGGAGGAGCTGAAGGTGTGTGCATCTGGATGGAGAGACAGCTCATCCTACAAGCAATACAGGCTTCTTATTAAGAAGAGGTAATGTTGTAGGTAAGACACTTCTCACATTCTAAGACTACGAATAAAAGGAATAGCCCTGATAAATTAATCCTCAAGTCCTGGCACCACAGTTACAGGCTGCCAAGAACAGACCCAGGCATTAGATATGCTCCTACTGTTGTCCTAGCGTTGTCTGGGCAGCAGCCTCCCCATGCCAGGAAGCATGTCAACAAATGAAGAGCATGGGCAGTAACAAGCAACTGCTCTGAAGTTTGTTCTGGCATGGCTTAATTTAGTACTGAAGATAACCTGTAAGGCCAGTCTTACCCCATACAATACACAGTAAGAAACAGAGTTCAGGTGAAACAGGGCTTGAGCAATGATGGTAACAAGCCATTTTACAAAGCCAGAGTAACACAGTCAACATACTCAGTAACACTTAAGAGATATCAGTGTTATCTTCAAAGACTGAAGAAAGAAGCTGCACTGAAAATAAAACACACTGGGAGATCTAGACGCAGGGTGGCATTTAGGTGTTTGGTGTTTTGTTGTTTAAGTATTCAGTAACACTTCAGACAGCTCCTTCACTTAAGGTGTCAGCTCTGGCAACAGCCAGAAACCAGATAACTCTGAGAAGTTTGAAGCTCTAGAGAACCAAGTACACATTTAGAGTAGTGTTGTTGGCAAATAATCAGTGACAACACTGAAATAACACCGCTATATGTTGTGGGTGGGTGTGGGAAGTAGTGTTTTCTTACTATCTGCTTCCAAGCAGTAACCTTTTTTTTTAGCAGGAATTTTGGAGTAACATTTTAAGTAACTGTCATTCTCTAAAAAAAGAGTTTTAAAACAAGTGTAAAAAACTTACAAATTTTCTTTGCATCTCCAGCATGCTGTTTCTCATATTTGACATCATTCTGTCCATTGCAAAAAAAGGGTCCCCAAAATCTGCATCATGCTGAAAGACAATACAACAGTTAAAATTAAAACAAAGTGTGGTGATTCTTCAATTTAAGGCTGTTTTTGACATGCTTTTTTTCTGCAAAGAAGACTAACAGGGTTTTTCATAGCCCACAATTAATATACAGACAAGCCAAACTGCATTTTCTCAAGTGAAAAAAATGAAAGCTAGCACAAAGAACTTGATTGCTAAGCTGGAGATGCTGGAAAGACGAAACTGGAAGACTTCTGATGCTAGAATGTAAGTATGAGTAAGCTCATATTGTGGCTAGTGTGCTAGAGCTATTGCCATATACACTCTAACCTAACTCCATACCTTACGTACTTGAAGATCAAATTATCTTTGTTATGCAAATCCCTTAATACATATGGAATCACACTGAAAACGCATCCCAGATGACAGTTCCTTTTCAGAAGAAAGTGGTTACTCAGCTAAAACTGGCAACAAGGAAAGATCAGAGAACCCTAACTCAGGATCCTAATGGCAACTTAATTACCTGATGCTATGGAAGTATCCAACAAAACATTCATTATTTTGAGATGAAAGCAAAAGATCCAGTGTTGCACAAGGGGTGTTAAGACAGGTTTACACACACTGTATTATTAGTAGGGTCTGTAGCTGATGGCATATACTGCCTCCACAGATGAAAGCTATCTTTGGTTAAAAAAATAAAAAAAATAGTAATACCGAGGAGACAAAGTAGGGAAAAGGGTAGGCTATCCTAAGCAGCCACCTGGGAAGCTCGCAATGCACTCCCAAATGAGCATGCTTCTCTGGGCTCCTCTCCAGTGCAGCAGGTGGGGATGGTAGAGATGATTTTCACCATGCCTTTCCCCTTGTACTGTGAACTTTTACTCAGGAGCTGCTCTAACTCCCCACTGTGCTGACACCAGGGGCTCAGGCTGGAGCACACTGATCAGCTGCGGGCACAGCACTGGGTGGAGGCTCAGCTTCAGCAGGAGGCTGCAGAGCAGGGAGGGGAAGGCAGGTGCAGGGCTGCACGTAGCAGGCCCTCGGCATCACCAAGGTGCTACTGACAGTAAACAAGCCCCACATTCTTCCAACTACTGAAAATATATGCAATTAGATTTAAATATACTTAAGAAACTATGTATTATAAAATCAAAAATCTGCAGTATAAGCACAAAGCTCAGTAAAATTCAGGTTCAGAAAGTCTTCTCCCGAGCAGCAAGAAATTTGGATCCTTTAGGGCTATCAAAAGCTCTCTGCAATAATTGTGATTTGATGCCTTGAACTAGCTTTAAACATCAGTAACTCCAGAAAACGGGTCTCTACAGTTCCAAGTCTGGACACTGAACCAAGAACATTACATAGCAATCAGCCATAGCTATAGACTCACACTACAGGCTGGGGGATAAAACTCGTCTGTGTAATAGCAAAAGGACTTCGATTAGCTAACACACTTCCTGCACAGGGCAAATTATCATTCTGTGCCTCTGTAAGAGGTAGTTAAACAAGTAATTTTTAGTTTTGAACATTCAAAAATATTCATGCTTATTTTTTACCTGATCTCCAATTAAAAGCCACTAATTAAGCTAGTGGTTTTGAACTTAAGGACTCTTTAAAGACTTCCAAAGGAAGCAAAAACCTCTGAGGCAAATAATAGATTTGCTTTCCCTCAGGTAGGTGTTACAGATCTTTTACAGGATATTCAGGGCCCCAAACCCTGCAGCTCAAAACCAACCCGAGCCCAGTCCCTGCAGAAATTGTCTGGCTGGTCTTAGCCACGAGCACTACAGGTCTCGGTGAGCACCATGGCCACAAGCATGCTGCAAGCCATTAGTGGTCATCCGCAGGCAGCACTCGGGCAGGAGTCCTGCTCCAGGTATTATTTCATTCAACTCCACTGAAGAACAAGCCCTAACAGACACCACAGAGCAGAAAAGCAAGCTGCTAAATAGTAACTTTTCCAGCCTCCACACCAGCATATTTAGCCTACACCCAGCATTTTCACTGAATCCGAAACAATCTTTAATTATGTAGTGTCTCATACCCCAGCACCAGTAAGAGCAGGTTGCAAGCACACCAACACCAGCCCTTGTCCATGCTTTAGTTATGCAGACAGTATGCACGTATTAGCAAGAGGCACAAAGATCATTTCTCCTGGGATACTGACCATGCTACCAAAGCCTGCAAAGGGCATGAGGGAGTAGCTTGTTGCCTGGAAGAAAAAGGACCAGTGTCTTTTAGCTGTTGTACCTAGTAGGGGACACAGCAAAAATACCTTTTGCATTTTCACATACAGCAAGTGATATTAAACATTTCTGATCAACTAAAGACAAACATTCAAGAGGACCTTGGTAACTCAGAGTGCCATGATGACATAATATGAAGCAGTCTCTGGGTATACAGAAGTAAAAATATTTAATGCAAGTTATGTTTCAAATGTTGTGACAGCTATTGTTTTTAAGCTTATTCATATGTAGGTACTAGAAGCCCTTAACGGTTGAAAAACACTTGTATAACATAACCTGAGTACTAAAATTATTTACGATAAGGCACAGTCATTCAGATATCACCTACTGCTCTGAAAACACTTTGTTCTATTCATGCCATAGAAATCCAGAGTTGATTAAAAACAACAAATCAATAGCCCCATTTAATGGAAGTTTGTGATTTCAGAAGACCAGCATGTTTAAGTGCTAAAATTCAAAGCACTGCAGCTGACCCATTCACAAGCACTATGTATTACAGACTCATGTATTTATAAAAGATTTCTCTAAAGTAGCCATCATCTCCTACAATAAACCAAATGAAGTCTAATTTGTCAGCAGTTTCAAAGGTCACTGCAAAGAAGGTCTAAGTAAGTCTATCATCATATATAGAACCACCTGAAGACATATCCCCCACGAGCAAGTTACATGCTTCTGAAGCTGTATAAATAGATGTAGCTAAAAACACCAGCAAGAACAGTTCCTGTTTGACCAACTGATATTGAATAACCCTACACAACACAGCAATGAAATGCTGGGAAACAAATTGGTGTTTCCAGGAAACTAAGACTGGAGAGTTACATAAAAGCCTACCTAAAGAAAGGCCGGTTGGGCAGAAGTACTAAACACTTCATAGTAAGAACAGAAGGAATTATACAATTCCTGAATAACTTCATGAACTCTCACAGACTAATATATTAGTGACAGAAAAGAGCATGATAGTATCAGGTACAAAAGGATATCACCAGAAATTAAGTCACAGTCAAAGTTTATGGAGTCCTTATTCTGTAATACATACTAAAAGCTGTAGATTAGACAACTGCCAATAAAAGCAGTCTGTGACAACTATGAGGCTCAAATAATCAGTATAGTTTTGTGACATCTTACACCTCTCAGGTGAAAGATGAGGAACATTAAAAGATACTGGAAAGATTTCAGCACATATGGAATTCCTTTGCGCTTATCAAAATAACAGTGCACTTGCACCTTCAGTTCCCTTCCGTAACCACAGATAAAGCATGGCATGCTTTAACTTGTTGCTAAGAATAAGGGATAGAAGTCTCTTAAGGTATCAAGGAAAAAAGAAGTCCAATCTGTTTTTTGGCATCTACTGAACCAAGGCATAAGAATCTGCTTCAGCAGAGAAAGAGACCATGCCCCAGTTAGATCCAGCGACATCTATATTTGAATCTATATTTGAAACTAACTGGTGAGGTATGAGCACGGAGGAAGGAATCTGACAGTTACCCTTTTGACAAGTAGGTGACAGTCTGAGTTTCAACTGTGCTTATTAAGCTCTTAACATCTAGGTTTGAATAACAACAGCCACAAATCCCTGCAATATGTTTTGCCTTCCAATTGTTTTTTTAAAAACCAAGCACTGTTCATTAAACTAAGAAATCATTCAAAAGCAAGGTATTTAGCTTGGTGGAAGGAAAGGAACCAACACTGAATGTACATTCTTTCTAAACACAGAAAAGAGATAAGACTTAGTTACAGAAGCATAAGTTATAATTGTCCTGAATGCCCAGGCAGTTGAAAAGTTACTTCATGTAAAACATTGTTAACCCACTTATTAACTGCAGCTGGTAGTTTACAGAAATACCAGGTTCCACATGAATTCCCCAGATCTGTAATACTTACCTGCTGTGTACACAGAGGAGACCAAAGAGAATGTAAAGCCTTTAGTTACAACAAAGAGATTGAAACAGTGCTTAATATATCTGTATAGATACTATTTAGGTGGCTGGAACTATGATTTCACTCAAATCCAATTTCAACATAAGTAACTAGACACAAGATACTCAAGTGCAGAGTAAAGGCACCAACGTATCAATGTACCTCATAGAGAGAAGTTAGCATAAAAAGGAAATCATGTTCAGAGAAGGCTCTGGCTTTGGATTTTTAATGCCTTTCTACAATAGAAACATTCAATACTTCATATTCATTAAAACAAGTGTTTGATAAATATTTATTGAAGGCATTTAATTAAATGAACAGTGTTCAATAATAGACAATTTTGTTTCTGTCAAAATTAAAATTGTAACAAGTTTGTCAGTGTTCTGTAATAAATGCTTAAACAAGAAGCCATTAACTAATTAAAAATATATTCCCATTTTACTCAGTGATAAGACAATCTGACCAAGGGTGTAACAGTTGAGGCTCCGTTTCCACTGGGCCAAGTTTAGTAGGTATGGAAATGTGAAGCCAGCTCTATTACCAGTAAATGTAAATTCCGTGTAGCAATCCTTAGAGATTAAGAAAAGACTTACTCTGCGATTTCCTCTCAGAGCAACCTGAGAATCCTGGCGCACTCTTCGATCTACTGTTCTCTCCTCGCCATCTGTTATACTGAAAAATGGATCTCGTCCAAAGGGATCAGAAAAGCTTCTCATCATCTGCCGCATGTATTCATGGTGTGCGGCAAAAGGATCACTGGAAAAGACATTGCACATAGAAAGTCTTTTTTTATTCCAAACAATGTAAAATAGCTGAAATTTCTAAAATTCATTTTTTCTTATCATTCCATACGGCGCTGTGTCCATATTTTTTACTTAATAGGACCCAACAGGGCAGTCATTTTTACCCTCCTGTTCCTCATGAGCTGCCACTTGTTCCACAGTTCTTCCCATCTCCCAGGGTGGGTGGCCATTTTAGTTTTTGTCTTCTCAGATGCCTTCCTTGCTCTCCTGTGTTCTCAGGTGGCCACACTGCATTATCTCTTCTAAAATAACCCATCCTCTGCAGACCTATTTTACTCTATCCTGGACTTTCAATCTGCCAGGAACTACAGACTGACCTATATTTTATTTATTACTTCTTTTACCTCTAACCCCAATATTGTAATAATACCATTCTCAAGTTCATGCCAACTCCATCCCTGTTGTTTTCATCCCCCACCACTGTACCTTTGCCTTCCCTTTCCCCTGCCTTCACAAGTCATGTTCTTGCAGCCCTTTCCTCTACTCAGGAAGAACAAAATCAAAGAAGAGATAAGTTCTCTGTCCCCTTTCTAATCACTCAATATCTATCTCCAAAATCCCACAGAACCCCATGAGTAATCCAAAGCTTGCCTTGCAGGTAAAATATTGCTAGTGTTGCAATTTACTTAATTCTTTGCATTCTTTAATTTGGCCAAGAACTAGGGAGTTCAAACTGAGGCCAGAAGAAGAAAGACAATTTGACATTATATGAATAACACCGTTGCCTGTGGTCCAAATGCTAGAAGTGATTACTTCATACAAAAACCATGTTTCATTTCCTCCCTTCATCTCCAGCCTAGATTTCCCCCTGCAAGCTGCTTTCTTAGCACTACCAGTCATTTCCCAGGTATGTTACCTAGGCTTCACAGCACCTCATCTTCTTCCTAGCAATTTCCTGGCACTCCCCATACAGCTCTCACCCTCCTTCTCTTCAGGGCACCATAACCTTTCCTATAACATCCCCTGTCCCTAAGAAGAAAAGCTCCCGGCTGTTCCTCTGACCTCTCTGGTACCCACTCATCCCTTGAAAGTCTCCTGCGCAGGCTTTCTGTTCCCCACCCCTCTCCTCCAGACCCATGAGTACCAGTTTCCACACCACGTGGCCACTCTGATCTCTTTGTCTCTTTTGATGAGAAAGTTGCATATAATTTAATTTTTCCTTTTAAGTAAAAGAGAGAAATGCACTAACAGAAATTAGATTAGAAATATAAAGTTAGATTAGTTTCCAAACAAGACGCTTAACCCACCAGTATCCCTTTAAGTGATGCACATGCACTGTGGTGCAGACAGGCCGTTACAGCCCAGGAGTAGTTTTTCCACTGCCATAAGCAGGCCCTAATCTCCCCACTCACATGACTGCCGGCTTTAGCTTCAATCCAGTGTGATAAGCAGCTTGCATACAGCCAGCTTGGTTTTCACAGGATGAAGAACAGATGCAAAGAGTCACTGCGTGAGCCAAGATGAGGGAAGCATGAACACACCAGCGCAGCATGTGCATGCCTCCAGTCTCTTTCAACACCACAAACTTCAGACTGGTGCGGTTATTAAGGCAAACTAAATATGAACTGCATTCCATCTATAACTTAGAAAATTTCTCCCTATTCCCTTCCAGTTCAGAAGTAGGGCACCCACAATTAAGTTATCACAACACTGAGGTAAAATACAATTCTACAGGTTTAATTTAGGTAAGAAAGATTGGTTGGATTTATTGTGCACAACATGTAGCAACATGTGTCACCAGACAAAGCAGTGCTTGATACCTTGTGACATTTTCTTTTTGCCTTCTTTTAATGTCTCTGGCAACTTTTGTTGGCCATTCACCTTCCTACAAGGATCTGATATACTTGCAGTGAAAACTATCTTGGAGGGGTGGGGTGCGTGTGTATTTTTCTGTCCTAGATAAAATAAAGGTCTACAAAACAATTTAGAAACACAGCTTCTTAGCACCAGGGACAAGGAAGCAGGATATATACCATGCAGCAACTTGTTTTGGAACTGTAGTCTCCCCAAGGAGATTTTAGGCAAACATTTATTAAAAAAATCTAACACTGTCAAGCTTTCAGAGAAATAGCCTGATTTCTGTATGCTCTGGAGCAGGGCACAAGCAGTGGGAAGCCAGAATCTGTCTGGAACATAAGGCTTCCAAAAGGATTAACCATATCCTCTTGATGTCTCCTATGACAAACTCGAATTACAAAAGGAGTATAATCACCCTTATGACACATATATACACAGCAAGTCAAAGTCTCCTTAATATCCCCAATAAAGGATGCAAGATCTTCAGTCTTTTGTCCCAGTCACAGACCATAGGACAGCAACAGGTGTAGAGCAGCCTTGTTTAATTACCATTGATGACAGCCAAATTTAAATTTGAGCAGGGGTGGGGGAAGTACTTTGGCTGAGACACACATGACTTCTGCAGACTTTGCACTATTATACTGGAAAGGTGAGGAGGAAAAAGAAAGGAAGTTCTGTAAGGATTTCACACACTCAACCTGTGCACTTGGCACGTTAAACAGCACAAAATAGCCTCAAAATTAAGGTCAGAAGGGGAACAATTTGTACGTTTGTCTTTCCAGTATTCTGAAGTAACAGAACTTGCACTTCTGTCTTGTAAGTAGTTTATTTGACTTTTAATTAATATGCATTTGAAGGGATCAAAGAGAACTGAATGTTCAGCCTCTTAGACTGTTAAGGTCTCACACAAGTACATCTATATGGAGAAATAGACACTGAAAATGCAGAGGCTGATGCTGCTAGCACATATGCAAGTGAGGATTGTCACCAAGATGCATCTGACTGGGTAAGTTTGTGTACAATTCAGCCTTAAACTCTGAAGTTTCAGCTGAAGCCTGTTACAGCACACAGCAGAAGTACAAGTAGTACTGCAAGAAGTACTGCAACTGCTACTTCTTACTTTGTGCATGCTTCTGCTCAGTTAAAAAAATCACTATCTTAAAATGATAAATTTGGTTTGGGATTTTTGAAAACCACACTTTATATTAAGCACATTTTTAAAGTTCGGATGGAACATAACACTGAAGCTGCAGAACAGCACCAACAATAACACCTGCAACAATAAGACAAAAGCTGCTTATCAGTAAATTAAATAAGCAGGACAGCTGCACCGGGCAGAGGAGCTCCACCTTCTGCACCTGTCTGAGGCACCAGGGCTCAGCTGGCCGGGCAGCACGTGGGCTGAGTGACTGCTGCTTCCCCAGGCAGCTGCTCGCAGATGGAGACCTCACTTCTCACCCACACGCTATTTCCAGTTCAGCACTCCAGATCTCTCCTTGTGGGGCAACAGATGCCTGCTGTTAGGCTGCTCTGGAAGCTCATCTTATCTCAAGTAAGAAGCTCATTTCCTTAACTATATGTAAAACAGATTTACGAGGATGGTGCCAAGAAAATGAATTTCAACATCGATCTTTTTCACATGCACTCCCATCCTCTATCTTCCCCAATCTTTTTCCTCCAGTTTTGAAGTGCAGGAGGCATTCTAAAACAGCTGTGATAAAATGAATAAAGTGAATAAAGAGAAGGAGAGCAGCTGATGTATCAAAGGATCACAGAAGCACGCTGCAGATCACCACAAATGAAGCTTATTCGCTGTTAATATTTTAATGCTACACAGAGGACCCACACAGCCACAGCTCCTGCACATCCCACAAATAAGGATGAGCTGTTAGAAGCTTGAAGCCAGCCGTGCCCAGGAGCCCCACAGAGCCCCAGAGGCTGCAGCAGGGCCGGGGCCAGGCTCCTCTGGGGGATGCACCGGTGCAGAACGCCCGGTCACCAGGGGAAACGGCAACAAATCCGCACCTCCGGGCCTGGGGCTTAGCCTCCCTCCTCCTCCTCACATCCCTCACCTTTGCGGGCAACGCCAGGTGCTCTATATTTATATATATTAGGGACCGCTGAGGCCGCCGTGCGCTCCGTGCCCCCTGCCCAGCCCTGGGGTCTCGCTGAGCGCTGGTGTCCGCACGCGCACTGCCCCCAGCAGCTCGGAAACACCCCCATAGCATAAAATAAAAACAAACAAATAAAGCAATAAAGAGAAATACCACAGAAAACCTACAGCATGCGGCACCTGTCCATCCTCGCCACAACCCCGCGGCTCGCAGCGCGGCGGCGTCCCTTCAACAGGCGGCTCCCTGAGGCCGGGAGCTGGGCTGGCTGGGCAGGGCAGACGAGCTGACAACGGGACGGGAGGGACGAGAGGACGGCGCCCCGGTACCGCACCTCACGGCCGGTCCCGTCACGGCCCCGGCCCCGCCTTTACCGCCCGCCCGCCCGCCCCCGGCGCACAAGATGGCGCCCGCCGCCCCGCCCCGGTCACGTGACGCGCGGCGCCGCTGCCATGGCAACCGCGGGGCTCCCGCGCGCGGCCCCGCTCCAGAAGCTTCGGGGCTGAGGGGGCGCTGAGGGGGGGGGGGGTCGGGGTGAGGGGGGGGTGGGACCCGCTCAGCCCCGTGAGGGGACGGGGCCCTCAGGGCTGCTCCCTGCGCTTGGGGGCTGCTACTTTGTAGTACTTTTAGAATAATCGTGGGGTTTTGTTTAGTTTTTTATTGTTTTTATCTTTTCCCGCTAGGTGGCAGTAAAATAAAGTCCGTGTGCTGTGAGGGGCAGGCAGTGCCCCCCCCCACACCCCTCGCTGAGGAGCTGCGAGGCGGCAGCGATGAAACGCCTCACACCGCCCGGCGTGAGCAGCGCCGTGACGAAATGTTGCATAAAACACAGAGTTACACAAAAATGAGGCCGAAACGGGCAAAATCCGCTTGTCAGGGACACGGACGGGCCGTGCACACAGGGACACTTTCACTCCACATCGCCAAAGTGCTCCCGGGACAGACCCAAATGCTGAGGCTTTGCAGCAGTCCCTGAGAGCAAACATGGCTAGGGTTAGTGCTTAAACAGAAAGGGAAAATAGCTCTTTGTCTTCTGGGCAGAAGAACCAGCTCCATGGCCTCCTGTAAGGGAGAAACCCCCTCAGTAAAACCTGTCGCTGGGCATGGGCAAATATATGGGGAGAGATATTGAGGCTTCCCGGGGAGCGGAGTGGCTGTGGACGTGTGGGAGTGTGTTAGAAAGCTGCGGTTCGGCATAAACTTAGCCCTTAGTTTGCAGCAATCAGGCTTACAGAAATCTCACCATTCTTCATAAAATGGGAGAATTATGGAGAGAAATGTGTATGTGTGAGGAAACGTTCTGGTCTAAATGGCAAAGTGTTTCAGAGCTATGTGCCCTGGGTTGTTTCCTCTCACATCTCTGCAGAGAGACGGTGAAGGCTCTCTCCTCCCCTCTTTTTCAATTTCCCAGCTTTTAGGGGAAGGACAAAAAATGTGCCCTGGACGACCAGGTGGGACGAGAGAGCACGAGAGTGTTTATATGACAGTCATGAAAGCAGATCCTTAGTCCCACTAAGATCCATCATACTGCAGAAGCAGCCCTGCTGGTATTTGGCCCAAAGTGGAAAACCGACATAAAAGATGAATGAACTGAGCCTGCAATATTTTTGAAAAATATCTGTAATCGGGTGAGCATTGATTTTGCTGTCTACTGATGTAGACTTCTCTTTAGATCCTAGCAAGTGGTGATATTGCAGCCTTAAGATGCACTCCAAGTCTGAGCAGTTGTTACAGTGAAAATGTTTATGCTGACTGACCGGTGGGCAGGGAAGCATGACAGAAAGAGGGTTACACATTGATTATCCAGGTGAAGTCTGTGAACTGTTTGTACATTTCTGATGAAAGATTAGCAAATAAAACAAATCAGGCTGTAGTCATGGAAGTGAACTCGAGTGCTTTGGGGCTTTTTGTAACAAAATCTTGTGCCAGTTATGATGTTATCAAAGAACTTTTTTATTGCTCAGAGACAGAATTCAAGCTTTGTTTTGAACCGCACACAAAAAATATTATGAACGTTGTGGTAATGTCATCTTTTGCACTCTAGTTAGTCTTTCAACCTACAGATTTTAAAGCTCTATAAAACTCTGAAGCTCAATTGCATTTGTACTGGATATGCAATATGCAGTAACTTTGCCATAATGATTAGGTCATGTACAGTGCTCATTTATTAATTACTTGCCATTATATTTTGATTAATAGACAGATACCCTGGATCAATGTGGTTTTTTTTTGCTCTTATTGCAGTTCATTAATATCCATGCCATGGTATGCTAGGGTGGGTATTAATTACTTGCTACAAACCAGCAAGGCAAGTTTTTGTTAACATAACTAGCACATCAGATATAAAATCCTGCAAATTCTTACCCACATGGAGCTTTATCTTCTCAAAACATATGTTTTAGGGCGGTTAACTTGTTTGCAGTTACCAAAACCTAACTAACTATTTTTTGACATTTACTTACAGTTTCTGAACATGGCCCAAAACAGACTGCACGTTCAGTTAGTGCAGGGCAGCCTTTGTATGAATTCTGCCTTGTAATAAGAAACCCGTTGCCTTTTCTGTACAGTGATAAAAAGGAAATGTGGAGCCTTCCCACAGCTGGTGAGAGTGCATCGTATCATCTACAGTTTGTTATTTAATTTTCTATGGAGTCAGACTCTGGAAGATGAAATTTCTTTCCAAGTCAGAGCAGATCCTGAGATGGATTACTGTGCAGATAACTGAGCAATATGAGTTCTAGTTATTGTTAATTTTTCGGCTGCTAGTGGGAAGATGGGCCCCGTTAGAAGTCAGCTCATTACGAGAGGCTCACTAACACGATAAAGTCAGTACTCTATTTGCACAGAGTGATATCTCTAATTGCTCAGGCCTTCTTATGGTTTGTGTCTGCTTGAGTTAGATTTCTTTTGTGTAGATAAAAAGACTTCTGTAAGAAATCACCTCAGTGCTACAGCACTGTCAGTCTGGAGGGCATCTCCAATGAGATTAATGATGTCTGCCTTAATATAAGAAAACTTTGCATAAATGAGATTATGGTTTCTGCTGAAACCTGCCAACTCTTATTCATTTGCAGTAAATATTATCTTTAATTAAAAGTTTTAAGGTATCTTGTTCCTGAACTAATGAGATCTACAGTGATTTCCCTTAGGAATTAATTTACCTTCTTAATTCTTATTCATTTTGGTGATATGACTATTTACATCTGATTCAGACTTCAGAGCTTTGTTGAACATATTCATCTAGAACAAAAGGTCATTTTGCCATATTGACGTCTTGTTGGTATTTATAATGCTCTGTTCTCTCTCAGTTCTGCAGGTATTTGTTTAGGTTCCTGCCCCAAACATTTCCTACTAACACTTGTGTTCATCTCAACTCTTCAGGCTGAGTGGCTCCTTTCTGGAGCAATTTCACTTTGGCTTGTTTTCTGTTCCATCCAGAGCACAAATCAGTTACAGCATGGGTGAAAAGAGATCCTGATTGTGATCAACTTATTTAGTACTGTAGGGCTAAGTAAGATATATTTAAATACATGAAAAACAATTGGTGCAATTGCTGAGAAATACAGAATTATTTCCGACTCTCTATCTGTGTAGTACATCAGCTACAGTTTTATGCAAGGATTATGTTTAACCAGTAGGCATGCTTAACACTTGGAGGTGAAAATTGCCTAACTGCATACATGTTTAACTAGGCAAAGTGCCAGCCAGCAACTGCTTTGTTGGAATGAGAGCCAGAACCCATCTGAAGATTGTACACCAACAGACGATATTGCTGGCTAGATGTTAAGACACACACATACTACTGTGAGAGCAAACATTTATGTGTACGGGCACAGTCCGAGACTCACTTTGTGCTGCGTTCCGTCAGGAAATAACCTTTAAAGCAACTGTTCTGTCTTTGAAGTTTATTTATAAAGCAACTATTTTACGGTAGCTGCTGCAGAAGCTCATTCCTAACTCTGCACTCGCCCCACCGGTGGGTAAGAAACGTGTTTTGTGGCATCGACAGAGCGTGTGCTGGGACCAGCTATATATAGCATTGTCACCGGCTTCTGCAAGTTGTTGATAACCTTCCATTTATAACTTACTTGCAGACCAACTTCCTCCCATCACACACAAATTAGAGGATTATCAATAATGTATGAATTAATAAGTAATGCTTGTGTGCTGTTGTCAGGGCAGCAAATATCATTTGGACTGCGAGACAGATCCTCGCCTTGTGTCAAGTGCATTTGAAGTCTTACGTATCTGGGAGGCTTCAGCACAGTAAAAGGATGGGATTTTTGGGTTTCTTTGAGATAATTGAAAGAACTGGTGCAATATATTCTGTTAGATTCAGAGAAATCCAAGAGATCTGCTCCCTCTTTAAAATCTATATTTGATTTCATTTACTTATTTAGTAGCTGTTTACAAAATACTAGTATGAGAGCTGTAGGAATTGCCAGATTGGATTACCTTATAAGAATCCGTGGTGTCCAGTGTCTTATTTCTGAGTTACCAGATCTAGATGTTTCGTAAGAAACTGCTAGAAAGTGCACAACAGCGGTAGGTGACAGCCTGCCCTCGCAATAGCTCAGCATTGTAATAGAAATTAATTTCCAAGACCTGCAGGATAAGCTTTTGTTTCTTTTAAAAATTATTATTGCAATGTCATTTTTCACATCCTCTATGTAAACTATAAACCCACTTGAGAGTTTCTGAGCTTTTGATGTTAAGTACATTTTGTAGTGATGATTTCCTGGGTTTATTTTTCATTAAGTGAAACTGTATTTGTTTTAACCAGCCCTAATTTTCTGTTCTGTTCTTATTCTTATATATCAGGGTGAAAATGGAGGCTTATAAATATATATAGTCTCATTTGCAAAAAAAAAAAATATATATATATATATATTTAAGAAAACAAACAAACAAAAGAATCAAAACCTGGTCCCAGTGGAGCGCTTATCATTGATCTCAGGATTTGGTCCAAAAATAATATTTGTTTAAATGTGCTCCGTTGCCATCATGTACAGCATCTATTTAATTATAAGCACTATGGCAGCACACATTACAGGATTAGGGAGCAGAGGGAATTTTATTCCTGAGTTACTCCAGCAATTCGCAGCTATCTCATTTTTCTGTTCCCAATGGCCAAACCACCAGACAATAAATGTTGAAGATGCTGAACCTGAGCAGTCTTCTGTGAGGTGACATATTTGTTTCTTAAATCGCAGCGACTGATCTCTCTGGCATGTGGAAGAGGAGAAAAAAACTCATACTCCAGTAGCAGCACCATCGCAGCCCTGAGTTTTTTCTGACTATTGGGGCAAAGCCACCTGGCGCTTGCTCTGATGCTTCCTTCAGCACCACATGTGGCCAACAGCAGTGCGTACAGAGATGGTGGGGGCTCCTCTGTGCACCAGGACTGGAGGTGTTCTGCCTCGAGATTCACAAGCTGCTGGCTCCAGGAGTGAAGGCAGTGAATGTATTCCTGCGGCAGAATCTACATCAGGTGAGTAGTGAAGGTTGGCAAACTGAGCTGAGGATTTGGCCACCTAGATGTACAGTCAGACAAACAAAGGTGCACATCGCGTGGTGTCACACACCCTGGGAGCTAGCACAGTCAGGCAGCCAGAGCTGCCTGATTCACCTGCTGCCGGCACCAGCCAGCTCCAGGGGAATCTAAACCCGAGCTCTTCCCAGCTTCAGGCAGTTTGCACCACCTGGAGCCAGATTTCTCCACTACCTAGAACTGGTGACCGCAGTTCAGACAGTGCCGTGTTTGTTCAAATAACAGAACTAATCCAAAAGGTCTTGCCTGCCTTAGGCTGTTTGTCGCTAAGCGTAAAACCAAATCTTGCTCGTTGAGCAGAGAATATTAAAGCCATATTTAAATCAGCCCTGTAGAAAACAAGTCTATTAAATGCACATCTTATCACAACATCACGTTTATACAGCTCAGAAATGATCACAGGTATATGACTAATTTCACAGGTAAGGCAGGAATTAATTGTCAGTTTTAATTGTCAAGAAGAGGTGTAATCAGTTCTAAGGAGAAAATGCCAGCTTTTATTACACAATTACTTTTTAATTACATTTGCTGCAGCCCCTAACTTCCAGAAGTGCAGGGAAAGTTTAGTTCTGATTATCTATTGAGAACCAGCACAGTGTATTAAAACTAAGTCCTTTTTCTGAGCTGTTTTGGAAAAAAAACCTGGTAACAGGTCACTTGGGGGCTCCGATCAGTTCTGCACTGTAGCCTTCCGTGTACAACCAAGCAATGTCAGAAGCAAGGTTGAAGGTAATTTGAGAGGACTCAGACAATCAGTACTCAATCCCCAGTCAGTTTTGTAAGGCTCAGCAGTTACTATTTAAATTTAAAATGTATTGGCATAAATGAGGTATCCTTACTTCTTACATTTTTACAGTTAAAGTCTTTTACAGGTAGGCTTAAAGATGCAATGCAATTTCCAGAGGCTTAAGCATATTTTTTAGTGGAAGTGGCCTTTTGATAGTGTTGTTAAAAAACTGATTGCATTCCATCTGTAACGTCAGCCCAATGCAGAGTATTTTGCAAAAGCAGTTTGTTATAAATTGTTCGTAAGTGTCAGATAAAAGCATCATTCTACTACAAGCAACTAGCGGTAGACATGTAATAACATTTACATTAATATTTTATTTAAATGTATAATCAATTCACATAGTCACCCAGCTCTGTAACTCGTATGAATACTGAAATAAGACAGGCTATAACTTACAGAAAAATACTCTGAAATCACTGAAGAGGTATCCAAAAAACCCACTGTTTGACATTTTTACAAATGTTAGCAGTATTCAGGTCCCACTAATAATAATTAATGAGATTTGTTTATGTCTTCCTTTCAGAACTGTAACTTGAAAATCCAGCTGTTGCCTCCAGCAGCCGGGAGCACCTGCAGCGCCCAGAGGAAGGTGACAGTCCTGTCCCCAGCAGGCAGTGCCAGAAGCTGCCCGTCGCAGAGCTCACTGCCCGGTGTGGTAAACTGCTTCAGGACAGAGAGGGTACATCTTCCTCCGGTAAAGTCCCCCAGGGACTGCACCAAATACATTGTACGTGCTTGGCTTTTACCTGTTGGATCAGTATTTTTTATTTGAAAAGATTTAGATTCTAAGGCAGCAGTAAACCGTGAGACAGACTGCTCTGTCTTGATACCTGAACTCCAGCTCCAGTTAGGAAACAAAAAGGCAGGTTCGCTTTCCGTGCATTTATTTATACAGCCTTTCTAGATGGCCACCGAGGTTCGTGTGACGACTGCGCTGGGACTGCAGAGACATCTAGTGGGAACTGAGATTTTTACAGTGGCAGCTCAGCAAGAACCTTTTAAACTACAGCCTTTTCGAAATACTGCGCTCAGAAATGATCCCCAAGGGCTGAAGGGCTTCTCGTATCACCGCTACAGGACTACAATCATGCCATCCTAATCCGTCTTGTATTGCTAAAGAAGCAAAAGCAATAGCCAAGTAGTGGTTTTCATTTTCACCTGGTTTTAAGTAACTAGAAAACAAATATTCAGCTCGTGAAGCACACTCTGATGGGTGGGAGCCCAGCTAGAAGTGAAGCACGGCTCTGCACCAGCACGAGGAGCTGAGCTCCCGCCTCCCCTTTCTGGGCTGAGCTTCAACTCCAGAAAGAGTACAAGGATCGTGTCACATCTCATCCTGGAGTGGCAATTCCAGAGTGACTCAGTGTCTAAGTCTTGCTCCCCTGTGTCACATAATCTGGCCTGGCCACTGCTACTCTTTGTAATCTAGGTCTCGGTAAAGGAGGAAAATAAGGAGGGAAGGGAACAGAGTCAGGAAAAAAAAAAAATTAAGAAATAATACATTGTCAAAACTACAAATGGTAAAGTTTAAATTCTGCCGTAATAATACTTAGAGCATTGCTTTTTATTACTGCTACTATTTGAAGCCTTGTATCATGGGTGGATTAAGTCATGGGTTCAAACTGATCTCTTCTGAAACAGGTTTCTAGAGTTCAAGGATCTCCACTAAAAATAACCTGCTTCTTGTAACTTGACAAATGGAAAACTGTGATCACCGAGGAGGTTGGTTTTGGGTTACTGACGGCAAAACAGCCTTCGGGATCATTCAGTCCTGTTCATATCTGAGAGGCTGCAGCAGAAGTAGCAAAATTTGATCTCCTGGCAGGCAGGGTTTTGGAGCTAACATTATTTTAGTAGAAAAAAAACTTTCTAAAATGTTGTAACCACCATAATTTAAAATTAAACAGAGCTAATTTTCAAGCAACTATCATAATAAAAAAAATAGTTGTGGAGATGCTGGATGACGGATGAAATCAAAGGGCCAGCGAACATTTTACCTGAAAGTTATCAAATCAAAATCAGTCGAGTTTGATTTTAATTGATGGTGGCTGTTCAGCAGGCTAAGTGAAATGAGTTTGCTAATGTAATTTCTAGGGGTAGAGGTCTTTGCTGACTACCAGAAGTCTGAACGGATCAAGTTACAGCATTATCTTTTCACTCCTACACATGATTTGTCTAAGTCAGATTTAAGGCACTTTGGTATTATGAGGAACTTTGTGTTACCGCCAGTTGTATCAGAGACACAGCCACACGTCCTGAATGACAAAACCTTATCGCCGCTGTCTCTAAGGGCTGCACAGTCCCCCTAATAGTTCTATGTTCTGGCTGGACAGCTAACAAACAGCCGTTTCTTCCCCTTTCTTAATCAGGAATCCGTTCATTTTTACCAGGAGCATAGAATAAAGTACAAAATATGACAAAAAGAAACAAGGTCTTCACAGGCAAGAGGTTCTTGCCTTATTAAATTATATTGTTGCACACTGATATGAGTTTCATGTCTGTGTTACAACACAGTTAATAAAATTTGTGTTTGGCAATCTGATTAAGTAACATATTTTGTCTTTTCCTCTAGTGAACACACCCCACCCATGGAACTTGTGGAGTGCACATATATTTTGACATAACCATTGAAAATGTGCCTAAAGCTTATAAAATAATTGTAAGTAGCAAGTTTTTCAAATTTCTCTGTAGTCTTGCAGTGCTGGTTATAGAATCAAGTTTATTTGTAATGTTGCTGCCTTCTTCCATACTTCATTTTTCATGTTCAAATATCTGTCTACCTTTGACAGGAAAATGAATAATTTATCACAGGATGCTTGCTATTCAAGTAAAAGCAAAAGAAGGAAATAGAGAGTTTACACAACTTGAATCAAGAGTGCTGTGGTAAACATTTACACTTACAACCCCACAGATTGGCCTTATACAACCTTTATTTTACTCTACAAGAGCAAACTCAGTGGAACAGCTTCTATTTTTGCTGAAAGTTAAGCTGTAAAAGCAGCAGCAGCAGGTTCTCAGAAAGGCGGAGTGCTGATCCAGCGCCCCTTAATAGGGCTCAGCTTTGGAAAGCACCGAGAGTCACTGCAAACCAATGTTGCAGAAGGCCACAAACATCACAAGGATCAGTGCTTTGAACATCCAGCTTCACTACAGGCAATGAGGGAGCCACAAGATTGAAACCCACTTGCAAGGTGCAACACCTGGCACTGCTCAGATTGCTGCTCAACGCCGTGTGAAACCTTCCCTTCGTTAATCACACACTTGAGCATCACCGACTCGATGTAGGCATCTTTAAACATCTGCATTGTATGAATTCGCAGGTTTCTAACAAGGATAGTGCGCTTGCTAATTTGTGACAGATGGCACCAAGTTAAAAACCCAATCCTGACAGGTCCTTCTCCCAGCACCACCAACTTCATAAACTTCAAGTACACGTAATGAATGTTCAAAACAGGAGTTGGGAGAAGGTGGGAGAATATAGGGCCTAAAGGAGAAGAAACTGCTTCTTAAACAAACTGTTTCCACAGAGACACTGGGGCAAGAAACAAGTTAAATATTTCATTAAAACTACCGAATTCTGAATGTTTTTTTTTTCATTGGTTATTCCAAACACCAGTCTGCAACTGCAACTGTAGAAATCAACTTGACAAGGATTTGCTCTGTGTCTCAAATTATGTTTGGCATATCTCAGTAGAGGACCATATATTCAACCTCTCAGTGCATTTCAGAAGATCTAAGTGCTGTTTCCATTTTCTTTCCAGATCTTGCTCACAATTCTCCTTCAGTCACAGACAAATTTAATTACTTGTTGATTAGAAATAGTACGCACAACCTGTTATTACCATTAAGTCTTATTTACTTTGACTGGTTTGTAGAATTTTCTTAATAACGTGTAGGGATGCAAATTAAATAAAAAGAATCATTTTGCATCAAATACTAGAATTATCTGACATGATGTGTGAAAAAGAGGAATTTAATTCTGCACCTTATGTAGGGATCACAGTTTTTTATTTACTTTGAAAGAAACATAGAAAGTGATTAGAAAACAGGACAACGACAGATATTTGCCACTTGAAAATGCTGAAATGAAACAAGACAACTTTTTTTTCCACTTTTTGTTGCAGACAAGATAGTCTTGAAACACAGATAGCCATTTTAATGTAGGACCACATAAAACTAACAGTGTTCACAATGAAAAATTAAAAACATGTTAGAATGCAAATTTAATACATTTTCCATCAATGATCTAAACATAAATAAGACTACCAAAGTACATTTCCAGAATCTTTTTCCCTCTGATTGTTTTCACTGCAGATCTGAGAAGAAGGAAAAGTAAACTTTTTTTTTTTTTTTTTTACAAAAGAAAAAGGCCTTACAAATTTCTTCATTCCCAAAGAAAAGCCCAGGCAGGTAATTTCAATGAGATATTATGTCCAATAGTTGGAGGCTTATTTTAGTCTTCTCTTGATGGAATAGTTTTCTCACAGATTTACCAAACACCTCAAAAGAAATACTTTTGTATTTTATTTGGTTGATCTCTGGAATTTAGTTAGATGACGGACAGATCCATATTTTTTAAATATACCTGAGGGATAAGCTTGAGATGGGCAAATGTGACTAATCTCCCATTATTTTAAAGTCACACTTGGACAAAATGGTAACTTCATATACTGAAAACTGTCTGTACAGTAAGAGGTATTTCATTTGTCTTTTTGATAAAGGTCTGTATCAGTAGACACAATCTTTATGTTATTTCCCATTAAGAATTCAGAGAAGACTGTCTTTGCCTTATTATTGATCATCTTAATATGCTTAAAATTGCATAGGAAATACAGTTATTGAAAACTGCTGAAAATGTAACAAATTTATCTAAAAGGTTAACATAGTTTTTCCTTACATCTAGCAGGATGCTAACAGTAGTGGGCAGATACTCAGGGAAATTTAAAACATTTCTTTCCACTCCAGACCACCAAAAGCGAGGACCCCGGACAAGGCTGGAGCGGGCGGATGAGCGCATCAATTCAGAACAGCCCCTCAGCGAGGAGACTGCCCACAGATGTTCAGGATTCAAAAGCTGCTCCCGTAACACAAGGCGGAAGGAAGACGAGATAACAGCAACATAATTTGCCCTGAATCCTTCTACGGCTGCAAAAGATCTAATGGCCCAGGGCGGAATCATTTGTACTCCTACTGTCTGAGCACTGGTAAATCTGAACTTTCTTTGACAGTCTTATTTTTTTCATTTATCTTTAAACTGCTACACGGTTATATATTTGGGGGGATTGGGAGGTATAAAATTACGTCTCCTTGGGCTGTCAAGTCTGCACCCAAGAGGAATCCAGTACAGAAAAAGCAAATTACACTGCTCTGAAAGCCTTCCCTTCTCAGCGCTACAAGTAACCCAGCAATGAGTTAGGGGAAAAAAACTGAGGATAGAACACTCTTGTTTATTCGGTTGAAATATTTATTCTCTGTACATCTCATACTGAGTATTAAAATCCCCTCAAAAGAGAAAAATAAAACATTTAATGGTAGAATTTCTCAGCATTCATTGAGATCTTGTACACTATGGTCACAGGAGTTTGTTCAGGCCACCGGACTGCCCATCAGCCTTTCCTGCCGAAGTGCCATCAGCCTCTGAAACCATTTCTCTTCTGCTTCTGCCTTCTCGATAAACAGCTGAGAGAAGAAGGGGGGAAGAAGTAAAGTAGGCACAAGTCATTAACCTTTCTGTTTGTTACAGTGTGTTGAAATACATCCTGACTATTTCAATGCTAAGAACAGAAGCACTGCTGCATGGTGGTGTTAAAATAGTGAAACAAACACAGTAGTAAAGGTTGAGACACCAGTAATTTGAAAGCCAAGATATTCTACCTTCAGTCCTCCCTCTGAAACAATGAGTTTGCTGTTTTGCATAGGTCTTGCATCATCGTTAGCCATATCCATTATTCAAAACTTGCATTAGTTTAGTCACTGCAAGTAATTTTTAACTTGCTACTTCTTAAAAATTCTTTTCCTCAATTTCTATGGACATGGAAAGGATTTTAAATTCCCCTACAGTCAACCAGTGAGCTACTTTGTTATAAAATGTGTTTGCAAACTCAAAAACTGCACTACTTTTTAACAAGGCTTGGTGTTTTGACTGGATAAATGAGTGTGATTGTATATTTTTCCCATTGTATAACTGAAAATAAAACTTAATTTATTTTTTTTTAACATTTTTACAATGATCAGATAGCTTCTCAACACAATTCCCTCTAAGAAAATCTTAAAACATTCATAAAGGTTTCCACTGCTTAGTTTTCCTATCTAACTTTCCTAAATCCCTATTTGTTTTCGCATTTCTATTGCCAAGCACTTGTTTTACTGTCCAGATCAGGTGACTCAATCATTAACAGGACTTAGCAGAAATGTCTGTTAAAATACATAATATCAGTTAAAATGCAAGTGAAAAGTCTTTTTTTTTTTTTTTAAATTAAAAGAGAAAAGAAAAAAAAGCTGTTTCACTTGCGTTCACGTGGCTTTTAGCCAAGAAGCTGGTGAACCTCCTCTTGTCATTTTTCTCTGTTGGATTATGCAGGGAAAGTAATCCTTTCTGAGCCAGTGAGCGGCCCATTAGTAAACAGTCTTCAGACCACAAATTATTTGATGGGCAAAACTGTTGTTAGGTCATGTGAACCTGCTCTCATTCAATGGGCCGTGTTGTTCTAAAGATATGGTAAATATTGACACACTTACATTTGGATGTGCTAAAGAATTATCGTCCTGGTATTTGATGGCAGTAGGGATATTGGCAGGTGCTGTTTCTTTTTCAGGAGCAGATGCTTCAACAGTTCCCGCTCCTATTGTTACAGGTTCATGTTTTAGTTCAGCAGGCTCTATTGACTAAAAAGAAAGAAACACATCTGAGTATTTTATCCTCAAACTCCCAAGCACGACAGGATCTTAACCGAGCATTCAACTTTCTTTGAATTGCACACATGCCCACAAAAGGATCCTCACGCGAATACTTCTCAGCGTGCTTAGCAGGAACTGCCTGAGCATGGACTAACACCTCCAGACCGAACACACGGAGAGGAAGAAGAACTGCCAAAGGCAAGGAGAGAGCTTGCAGAACTGTAGGCTTTGTTTTTCTTTTTGGATCACCTTCTGAAGAAGCTGCATGAACTTCTCAGATACTTCTGGAAAAACAATCTGCATGTTGGGGAATCATACAGTGATGACTCAAAATCCTTTGCTGTCAGGTGGAAAAACTGAACCAACACCTTGCTTACATGCTGCCAAAGACAAAAGTGCCCGAGTTCCCTAGAAAACTTGGCAGCCCAAATGCAGGTACAGTTCTGAAGCCTGGATGTCTCACATCAGGTTTTTGGAAAGCTGTCTGAAAATGAGGTCATTTTGTTTCAGTGAGTAAGAATAGTCCTGAACTCTGTTTTCAGTTCAGCAGAATTAAAAGCACTGATCTCTACCCTTAATTGCAATGCAAGTGTCTGATTACTTTTGGATTTTAATCCTTCTGCTTTTCCTTAAAAAAATCTTAATGACTTGTTATGATTTAAAAATGATTTTTAAAAACTGGAGTTGCGCAGCTTAGTTACAATGTACTATCAAAGCAGTGGATTTCGCTGGAACTGTTACACACTTAAACGTGTTCTTCCTTGCACACCACACAAGAACACCAGAGAGTCGCAGTCCAAACTCTGACTCCAGTGGTGGGATTTAGGGTTGTCAACATCGATGCTCTTTCATCAGTGGAAACTGTATTCACAGCGTAGAATCCACCTGACTCTGAAAGGATTACGCACCAAGAAAGGATATTGAAAACTTACCTTTTTGACTTCTTTACTGGATCTGAATGTCTGTGGAACAAAGGAGTCACTTTCAATAGCTTCAATTTCTTTCACTCGTTTCACTTGCTCTACTAGGGTGGCTTGGTCTACAAAAAGAAGGTGCAATGTCAGTACACATTACTGTAAGCCTCTGATAAAAGCTGTGTCTAAGCAATGTCTTGAATATATCTTACTGCAGTGCATGCCAGGAAAAAAACAAAACTTGCAATGCAGCCCAAAGTATTCTGTTACACAAAAAATCATTCTCCTTTAGTAAAAATAACAACAGTGAGTGGGCCGTCACCATTGAAGGCATGCCACCATTCCAGATGCTAACTTAAGAATTTGCTGGAGAAGTCCTTGCAGGACAACTGCTAGATTTATGGCACGGGAATTTCCCAGAGAAGGTAAGGGTTCGTGGCCAGAACAACCAACCCAGTGGAGTCCAGTCTGCGTGTAGTAGTAAAACCACTTCTCCTTGTACCAAGGTGAATTTTGCTTTGGCTGTGGATGCCCAGAGACGTGCCACCACCCCAGTTCTGAGGACAAGCTACGTCATTAGTTCTGTACGGCTTGGTCATTGCAGTACAGCTGACAAAAACATGTTCGCTTTACTGCCGGTTTCATTTTCTGCTTCTTCAGAGCGCAGTTAATCTTTGTTACCAACTTCTGTGCCTAACTGCAGTGACAAGCAAGTCTTGAATTCACTCTTCTAACTGCATGCTCTCACTTACAACATTAACCAGTTTATCTCCAGCTTATTTACTTCTGAACATGCTTTCTGCACCCGTATGTTGGGGCAGGCTCTGTGAAGAGCGCTAGAGCATGGATGAGGCAGATAAAAGAGATATAAATTGCAAGAAGCCTCCAGGAAACTCCAGCTTTGGCAATGCTCAGGCCAGCAGCTGCGCTACAGCAAAGCTTGAGTTCGTACTTGAGTGTAATTCTTTGGGGTTAAAAAGGAAAAAATTGCTTGCTTACAATTAAGCTTGCGTTTAAAAGTTCTGGTGGCTTGGCGCTAAGGACTTCTTTCCTAGAAAAGACTTCTAAATATCCAACGGGAAGTACAAAACTAAATATACCAATGCCCTCCTAGAGGGAAGAAATTGTAGTTCCTTGAGCTCTTGGTTTGAGGGTACGAAAGGAAGGGTGAGCGTCCTGGTAGCCACAGGACTGAGACTGAGGATCAGAGATAAGCTGGTGAATGCGGACTTAAAACCAGTTGCTCAGCTCTCTGTAACGCACACCCTATGGCCAGTTCCCAGCCTGCTACAGTATCCTATGTGAATCTTACCCAAACCTATAGGAATGACAAATTATTAAGGGGGCAAAAATCACTAAATGTTTAGAATTACATCAGTGACATTAACTTGGGGAAAATGGACTGGAGGAAGCAGAACCCATTAGCGCATGATATTTTTGACAAACGCATTATTGGTAGATAAAATGACTTCCATATGTTGTTTGTCAGATGTCAGTGGGAAGGATATGTATTTCATAGTAAAATCAAAAATAATGGAGTCAGAAAGCTAAGAGGCTACAGACAAAAAAAAAAAAAAATCAATACTAACTCATTGCCCAGCAAGTCTTTTTACTGTGTTACCGTGAAAAAAACAAGCTAAATATCGCGTTAGGGATTGTTGAGGCCATTTTTTATAAATAGGCCATTCCAGCAGCAGCAAGAACGATGATCAATGGCAGCAGCCGGGGCCCGCTGACAGCACGCCGCGCACAGCACCGCATGGAACCGGGAGCAGCGGGGGCAGCGGCCGGCCCTGCCCAGCACCACGCGGGTACCAGTGGCTGTTGTTGCTCTTTTTGCCTCCCACCATGAAGCCAACTCTGCCAGGGAGCCTTCGCCTAAACTAATTTTGGAGTAATCTGCGGATCCCTGGGCCCTGACTGCCTGAGCCACGGTTGGTCCGTGTTAGCAGGAATCTGCAATGTCCCTTTAGAAACGAAACGTATACCTCTGTCGGATGGATGCCTGAGATGCTATCCCCAAATTTCACACACGCAGTAATTAGAAGCACCGGGGAATCAGATAAAGGAAGAAGCAACTCGCCTGCAAGCCCCGCCTGACACATTCCCGTTTGTTTGCTTATTCCTAAAGACAAAACCGCTGCCGAATCCTGCTATGAATTTAACAGGTATCGGAGCAGAAGCATTAAGTGGGTAGCACCTTGTGAGTGACCCATTAAACTGTTTTAAATCAAATAAAAATCTATTTTATATATTTCTTGTATGGCATTTAGATGCAAAGTTGTAATGCTCACTGGATTCATTGCTAATCTATAGCCCTGACTGGGAAAATGAACCGATCCCTCTTCCTAAGCTGCTTGAAGAAAACTCCTTAAGAATCAAGGCAACGTCAAAATAAACCTAAGATGTTCCTCAGAATATATTTCTTCATATTTAGCTAATTACATTTAAAGGGGTATACTTGGCTAATTGAACCGACCCGCTAAAATTAAGGGAAATCTTTGGAAATACAGAACAAATTGCTGTCTGTTCTGCTCTCTTGCTCATGAGCTGAGGATGAAAAGAAAACACAAACAGACAAACTGGCTTGAAAAGGAAATTATTTTCCCCTTCACCTGGCGTTACTCTGGGTGGTTACCATGAGGTGATACCGCAGAATCCTGATCCTACTGCACACGTACTGCTTCAGCTGTAATTCAGCTCTAAGTACTCTCACACCTGCGATCCACTGCTTAACTACAGCCACATCACCCACCCTTTGTGGTATTTTAAAACAAGTCCGCACAGTGACATCCTTTCCTTAGCAGAACAGAAATATCGGGGCTCAAATCAAATCAAATGGGGAAACTTCAGCCGCTGAGCTCTGAAACGCAGCAGGGGCAGCTACGAGCACCCGCGCCAAATTCACCCCTGCGGGTTTTCCACGCGTGCCATTCCCCTCATCCACTCACACCCCGCAGCCTTCGAGGACATTTACAGACGGAGGAGGAAGGCAAAGCGGGCTCGCAGAGCGCTAGGGCACGGCGCTGAGCGTGGTGGATGCTTCGAGCCGTGCTGGTGCGAGCCCAGCCCCGCGCTGCTGCCTGCGCTGGGCCTGCCGACGTCGCCGGGCACGCCGCATTTGTCACCGTGGCTAATAGCAGGGATCCGCTGCTCTTTTTTCTCCGCACACAAAAGCAAGATATGTAATTCAATGCTCAATTTACCCTTGTCTCGTAGGAGATTTTTCCCCGCTAATTGATAGAAATTAAGCCATTAATCAAGCCACCAGCCATCATTCAAACCAGGGAAGATGAATACAAACTTTCATCATAACCACCTTCCCCATTTTAGTGTTCATTAGCATTAATTTTTAATGCAATTATGCTATTCTTTTACGCTGAGCTCATAAATTACTGCTCTTTTGTTGCTCGCTGGCCTTGTAAAATCCAAGGTAATGCTTTGTGCTCTGATCTTAAAGGCAATTACTGGGTTCTTCTATCTTTTATATATCTGTATCCCCAATAACCTCTGGATTGTATGTACAAACTAACGAGTGCATCTATTGCCTATACATTTAATGTGTAGCAATTTGTCTATATTGAGCTTACACGCGTCTCTCGGACACCTTTGGATAAATAAAAGTATTTCCACACCCGGCCGTGCCCCATCGCAGGCGGGGATGCAGCCGCACAGAACTGGCAGGATCGAAGCCGGTCCCGTTCTGGCCCCGTGCGCCGGGCACGTGGGAGGAGACGGGTGCATGAGAGACCTGCTGGGAACGGGACGAGCACCGGGACGTGGGCAGCAGCGCTGGACCCGTGCACCCTCACAGGGTTTTTCGTGGACCTTTCTTTGTCTGCTCTTCAGCAAGCCGTGCTGGAAGCTGAGGACGGGCGACTGCACACACCCCACGATTTCTTTCTCCTGCACATTGCAGCGTGCGGTACCGTGAGCGGAGGCTTTCCAAGAGGAGCTATGAAATATGTGGGTTTGAACAATTCCCCAGCACTGCGCGTTGACACACGGTGCCACGGTGCTGCTGGTGTCAATAGCAGTAACTTCCATGCTTTTATTCCAGTCCATATATTGATTCTCAGTAACACAACAGGGGAAATGCACAGTAGCAAGAACCACCTCTGGTTACCCTCAAACACCGAACACAATTTAAGTGGCTAAATGAAAAACAGCTGAGCAAAAATCGTATTTTTTTCTAAAATTACTTTTCCTGCTCTTCACTGGGCCAGGCCTTTAGCTGGTACATGAAACAATGCCGTTCATGCCACCTAAACATGTCATATTTGACTGGTGCTAGGCACATGTATTCCAAATCCCACCACACTGAGGCATTAGCCAGCATAAACAAGAAAATGCCTTCTCAGCTAAGTCTCACACTTATCCCATGGATTCCTTCTGCTCGTCCAAATAAATACATTTGACATGGGTAAGTCCACATGTAACATTGGCACAGTCATGGAGATCAGCAAAACAACATCTTTTAGCTGAGGATAAGAGACTCCACGCAAGGGGCTGTGGTTCATGCAAACGGATCCAATTCCTGATGAATTTAACCAAGAAGTGGTCTCCCCTAACTTCACAGGCTCCTTAACTCGTGCTTTTTTTTTTTTTTTTTTTGGGAAAAAGGCTTCATGCCCAGAGACTCGAACATGCTTCTTCGACCCATCGGGCTCGTGCCGAGAATACTTTTGTCCTCCTAGCCAAAATCCACCTTTGTTTAGGCAAACCAGTACACTTGGGAATGATCCCGTTTGCTCCTGCTGTACCGAGATGTCTTACTTTTCTGCCCGAGCACTGCGCTGGGCTTAACCTTTTCCCAGCTCCTGTACCCAGCTTCGCACAGTCACATCCAAAGCACGCCCACAATTTAACCCCCTGGACTTTACTTGAAACGCAGCTGCTGCAGATGACGGTGAGGACAGACGGCGTGCTCTGCCTTTAAAGCTCTCCAAACCCGAAGCCCTGCCATGCTGCTGTCTCTGCTCTCTTCCTAACATCCCTGAAGGAATAACGCGCGCTCACCTTGCGGGGCTGTGGCAAGATGAAACATCAACAGCTTGAACACGCCGATCCTGTGGTGGTGAGCCCCCAGCACAGCCCGTGAACAAATTCCTGATGCTGTTTTTAA